GAGAGAAAAAACCAGCTCTCAGGGTGCGTGGGTCGATGGCTGTGTACATGTCGCGGATCTCCTCATCCTCCAGAAGCCGCTTGATACTTCTCGGGTGCCACATGTCGCGTAATTCAGTAGCCAGATCAATGGTAAGTAGAATCTCGGTATCGTCGTGGAGCTGCTTGGCCCAAGGGTGGATGGGGGCATTCACGTTGATCACCCCTTGATCGTCCAAGATCGGTACATTCATTTTAGCTGCACCTTCGAGGGCCAAGTTGCCGAAGAAGCCGACTAGGAAGTGAATATGCTGCGGAATATCCGTAAGGATGTCGCGCCACCAACATAGTCGTCGTACCGTAAGTTCAAGCGCAACTGGTGTCAGCTTCCAATATCGCCAAACGTTAAGAGAGGGCCAGGAACGATGTATGATGATGATGATGATGATGATGATGATGATGATGACGATGCTACTAGTGTCGACGACGGTGAAGCTGTCGCTGATGATGATGCTGATGATGCTGATTATGATGATGCCGATAATGCTGATGATGATTTTAACAGTAGTGAGGATGTTGCTGATGATGCTGATGCAACGTGCGGCGTAGCTGATTCAGAACGAGGACCCTGCTCAACACAGGAAGCTTGGCAACACTATTGCGTCTTTAACTGGCTTGGCCCTGGCGGGCGCCGAAACATTTTTTCCCAACCATCCTGTGGTGTTGGGTCCTCGTTTTGAAAAGACAGCGCCCCGCGTCGCTCACTCACTCCTCCTCCCCCTCCTCCCTCCTCCTCCTCCTCCTCCTCCTCCTCCCCCTCCTCCTTCCTCCCTGCGTTTCGCCCACCCAGTACAGCGTTTCGTGGCCCCTATGAGTCCGTCCGCATGCGTTACCCACACCAATGTCGGCACACCCTTCACACGCTTCGTGGCCCCATAGGGAGCTCACCGAGGGCCCCAATGTCACCGCCCGCATGCGTCACCCACATCCACTTCGGCACGCCCCTCACACGCTTCGTGGCCCCATAGTGAGCTCCACCGAAGGCCACAGTGCCCCCGCCCGCCTGCGTTCCCCACATCCATTCCGCACACCCCTCACGCGTTTCGTGGCCCCATAGGGAGCTCCAACGAAGGCCACAGTGCCACCGCCCGCCTGCGCCACCCAAACCAATTTCGGCACGCCTCTCACACGTTTCGTGGTCCCATAGGGAGCTCCACCGAAGGCCACAGTGCCACCGCCCGCATGCGTCACCCCAACCGATTTCGGCACCCCCCTCATGCTGTTCGTGGCCCCATAGGGAGCTCCAACGAAGGCCACAGTGCCACCGCCCGTCGTCACACCCCTCACACGCTTCGTGGCCCCATAGGGAGCTCCACCGAAGGCCACAGTGCCACCGCCCGCATGCGTCACCCAAACCGATTTCGGCACACCTCTTAGACGTTTCGTGGCCCCGTGGGGAGCTCCACCGAAGGCCACAGTGCCACCGCCCGCATGCGTCACCCACATCCATGTCGGCACACCCCTGACGCGTTTACTGGCCCCATAGTGAGCTCCAACGAAGGCCACAATGCCAGCGCCCGCATGCGTCACCCACGCCCACTCCGGCACACGTCTCACGCGTTTCGTGGCCCCATCGGAAGCTCCACCGAAGGCGCCAGTGCCACCGCCTGTATGCGTCACACACACACACACACCAATATCGTCACACCCCTCCCACGTTTCGTGGCCCCATAGGGAGCTCCACCGAAGGCCTCAATGCCACCGCCCGCATGCGCCACCCACGCCCATTCCGGCACACCCCTCACACGTTTCGTGGCCCCATAGGGAGTTCCACCGAAGGCGCCAGTGGCTGCGTTCGCATGCGCCCACCGCACCCATGTCGGCACACCCATCACACGCTTCGCGGCCCCATAGGGAGTTCCACCGACGGCCCCAGTGGCTGCGTTCACATGCTCCCGCCGCACCTACTTCGTCACACCTCTCACCCGTTTCGTGGCCCCATAGGGAGCTCCACCGACGGCCCTGTGGCTGCTTTCGCATGCGCCCACAAGACAGATTTTGGCACACCCCTCACACGTTTCGTTGCCCTATAGGGAGTTCCCCCGAATGCGGTGCATACAACGACAAGACTCACAACTGCATATGGTTGGGCCCTTCGCCAAGCAAATTTTAACTGTCATGGGACGCCCTTGGGGCGCCCTCGGAAGCCTCTTGGGCCCTTGTGTGGCCGCCTGCCTCTTGCGGCTCTTGGGCCATCTTGGAACTATCGTGGGGCCTCAGAAACACTCACCTGAAGCGAAAGGCAGGTTATCACATATCGTTCTAAACTTACACGTCTGCTTTCTTGATGGCATCATCGTGAGGCTCCGTGGCCATCCCGAGCTATCTTACGGAAATATTGAAGCTCGTTGGAAGCATATTGAAGGCGAGATCTCCCCGATGTTGGGGCACATAGTGCCATATTGGAAACAAGCTTCGCCTACCTGATGCCATCTTGGAACCATCCAAGGTCATCGTGAACACTCCAACACCTCTGAGAACAGCGGTCCCAATTCCCTGGGAAAGGGTAATGGGAAGGGTGAGCCCCTCGCCCAAGAGGAAGGATTTGGGAGAGGTGGCCAGCTAAAGCATTTACTCCCAGGAGGGCGGTGGGATACCTGCGCATTTTCTGTAAGGATCCATCGCTGCATAGACAGATCGTTCTGACACAGTTTACGTCGCAAACGGGAAAGCTAAAGCGAAGTCGTGGGCGCCCTGAGGGGGCCCAAGACGGCCCAAGGACCTAAGAGTGGCCCGAGAAACCTTTAGATGGAGCCAGACGCCCACAAAAAGACCACAAAACGGCCCGAGACCGACCTGGAGAGCGTCAAAACGGCTCAAGAGGGCGCTGGAAGGACACTCAAGGAGAGAATAGATATGAACAATCTGTGGTTGTGGAACGATTTTGGCCTCCCCGCCTGCGGCTGAAGACGACTCCAAGAAGCCCGTCTGGGAGCCCAGGAGATCTCCAATAGGTTTTCCGAAAGCGCCGAACCGAGTTCCTATACAACTCAGGACGGCCCCAAGACAGCTGCCAGACCAGCCGCGCAGGCCCTACAAGTGGGCTCAAACCGTGCCGGGAAACCCCAAAACGGCCCAGGAGGGCCTCCGGAGCGTTCCCAGGACCCCCCCCCGGAGTCCCAAGACGGCGCGAAGTGGGCGCGCGACTGCCCAGACGGCCCTAAGATACCCCGCGACGGGTGGATCAGTACGGCTGCGACTGTCAGGTGGCACGCGCAAACATGTATGCATGCACATGTATCTACATGCATCTAAGCGTTTGTCCCTAAGTATATGTGTATGTGCATGTCGATGTATATAGGTTTACATACACACATCTAGAAATACATATCAATGGATGCATACCAAAGAATACGCATACACGTAAGACTGTGCTGATACATTCGGCTCTCTACACGTCAAAACATAAAATGGTCCAGACCAGGCTGGCTAGTTCCGGGGCAGACGGCCCCAAGACGGACCCAGACAACACCAAGACGGCCCAATGCCATATGGGGTGGGACCCTGTGGGGTGGGACCCTACAGGGTTCACACTGTGGAGTGGGACCCAAAGTCTTGGACCTAATGGAACTCTAATGGGTGCAAGCCTGTGGGCAGGGACACTATGAAATGAGCCGTTGGGGTGGGACACCATAATTGGGAACCGTCAGGAAGGTCGGGGAATCTCTGTAAGGCAAGGCAACTTATTTTGGGACAAATAAAACCAACTAGTGCAACTCCTGCTTGGGGATGAGAAGCCCGCAATGTGAACATTATGAAATTGAGGTGGGAATGTACGGAACGGACACAAGGATGGGCACAATCACTGACATTTGACTGGTGATCAATGTGGTCCCCGCACCACTCATTGGGGTGCATATTCAACGTGCGAACAATTTCTCGAATGGTACGGCCATCACCGCGGACGGACAAACGTGATCTCAACTGGCGTCTTGGATTCCAAACTTGGCTCCACACTCAGATGCGCAAGCAACTAGACTCAGAAGTGTATGTTAAATTTGATTGAATACGTATGCGTATACGTCACATTCACACGGGCGAGGCAGCTGAAATAAAGATGCCATGGCTCGTTGCAGAAATCTGATGCTCACAACATCACAAACACACCGGATACGGAAACAGCGGAAACTTCACTTACCGTGTGTGCCAAAGTGAACCAAATGATCCCGCCCGAGAAACCAGACGGTACAACCGGTACGAATACTGAAACAATGCGGTTCCACGACGAGTCTGATTGAAGACCCATGCACGCTCCCTCAGGAATTGGTATCTGACTCCTTTGCCGAGCTTGTCTACATTAGACAGGAGATCGTCCACGCACGCGTCGCTCCAAACTCCTTCATGGGCCACGGACAGATCCGTGGTCAAGACCCCCCCTCACCCATGTTGTATGCTTATGTGCAATCTCGCTTTCAACAGCATTGGCTATTCTCTGCGCGCGCTTGCCAACTTCGGACATATCCTCCTGGATGACGGCTGCACTAATTCCTCGATTGAACGTTCAGACAGATCTGCCCAGATGAATGTTACGCTATTCCTTCTCTGTTAAGCGCCCCTTCCTCTCCAATCACTTCTCGATCGGCGGTGCCGATGACGTCTTCTGTCGGCCCTCCGTGCCATCATCTCAGCTCGCCCTGGGCAACTTCCAACAAACAAACAGACGTGGAACCAGGACGCGATGTTTTCTGGAAGGCGCGTCGGAATTTCCACTTTGACAGACTCTCCCAGGTGATACTTAGGCCAGCGAGGACCACCGATTGTCTGAAACAACCTGACTCCGAGGAGCATGTTGGCCGAGGGGCCGTTATTGATATTTCGGCCGAGGTGTAGCTGATGCCAATGATGTAAAGCACGCTGGCGATGAACACGAGGACGGCGATGACAATGATGCCGGTGCTGGCGATGAAGAACACGATGGCATCGGCGACTGCAACGAGGGAGGGTGAATCGGGTGAAAGGATGGGTGCTCCTTGTGACGCTTTCGAGTGACCGCCAGGCGTCGCGTCCAGCTGTCAGCGCCCAAGCTGGCGCCCTTCGCGTCATCCTGGCGGCCGCTCCTCTCATTACCGTCGCTGGCATGGCTGGAGCTTGGCGGCGACTGTCTGCACTGCGCACATGCCGCTCCCTTCCTCTCGAGACCAAGATCCGAGAGCAGACGGCACGGGAGGACATCTGAGGGCGGGCCTGCCACAAGATGTTTGGGCTGGCTGGGCCTGAACAGCCTGAGCTCTGTGCGAAGTTCCGCGCTTTACCGCACAGGCTGATCAGAGCTGCCAGGCCCAGGCTCCAGGCCTCCTTGAACGCGGAGGTCGCAAATGGGGTCGAAGGGATGCAAGCAATGGAGACGTACAATGAGAACCATTCTGCGCCTTGCTTCCGCACAGCGTTGGAGGAACCCTCTTCCATCTGCAGCTCTGCCTACTTCTCCCTTTCCTCCTCCCTCCTCCCTCTCCCTCCTCCTCCTCCTCCTCCTCCTGCTGCCCCTCCTCATCTTCCTGTCCCGACTATCTCCCCTTTTCCTCCTCAGCCCCAGGCGTTCCGCCCGAGACCTCCTCATACGACAGGACGCACTCAGACCTCCGCCGCATTCCCTGCTCTTCTGTGCGTGACATTCGAGAGCTCCCGACCCCATCTCCAAATACGGATTCCGTGCTGTGGGCAGCCTTCCTGTGCCCGCCCCCCCCCAAGGCCCGAAGCATGCCCCCTCAGGAGCCCGCGTGCAGAAAAGCGGGCCGCTCTGGGGACGCACCGACCCGGGTCAGTGCAAACCCGGGCCAATCGGGCTTCGCAGGATCCTGCGCGCCAGCCCGGGTCAATGCAACCCTGGCGTTGCAGGCTTGTGCAAGATCCGGCGCTCTGGCTGACCCCGTTTGCATTGCCCCACCGTCTCTTACAACTCGCCAGGAGCCCTGGCCAGAAGCACTTCCCCCGGACGCCGGAAGCCCAAGCCAGGGCAAGGTCCGCCGACTGCCTGGCCCCTCCTGGTCGGGGCCCAGGATTGGTGCTTGCGCCCCACAGGCTGGGCTGGGAGGGCTCACGTCTTCGCGCTGACACCGTATACTGCTCGAGGCTGGCGCCCAAGACGATCCTCCAGGGGTCGGTGCACGCTCGAGCGGGTTGGCACTTGCAGGTCTCTGCGATGGCAATTTCGCTCATCTCCGAGATCATCCCAGAATCGTCTCTGCATTGATCGCCAACATCATCTTCCAATGGCCCAGGATGGGCCCCGGCAAAGCTCGGCGGAGCCCTGACGACTTCAACGCAATGGGCGCCAGGATTGGAAAGACATGAGGCTCGAGTTTGGAGGACTCGAGCTGGCCTGGCAGTTCAGTCGGCTATACGACGAGACCCACTTTGAAATCTGTCTGACGTGAGCTCCCGCTGCAAGCATCCCACGCGAAGTGAAATCTGTCCGACGCGAGCTCCCGCTGCAAACATCCCACGCGAACTGCACCGTCAAAACTCAGGACGGGCCCAGACGGTTGGTTTCTGACACCGCGGGGATCGTTCAACCTTGAACGATCGGCCGTCCCCGCAACGTCAGATCCTTCAATATCGACCGATTCTGGGTCGCTGGCGGCGCTCTACGTTGAACGCCAGCGGCGGGGTCACCGCTGGTCGACGCGACGCGAATCCGCCGTGACAAGAGGCGTCGGCGTGGTGGCCAGCTGACGTCGCCAGGCCCGGGCGCCCTCGCGGGCGGCCCCCTGGGGGGTCGAGCGCTGTCCGTCGACGTCGAGCCCCGCGTCGGCGCACTCGACCCGCAGCCCCTCGAGCTGCTCCTCGCCGCGGAGGCCGCGGCCCGAGCGGGATGCTTCTCCTTCTCCTCCTTCTCCCTCCTTCTCCTCCTTATCCCTCCTTCTTCCTCCTTCTCCTCTCCTTCTCCCTCCTTCTCCTCCTTCTCCCTCCTTCTCCCTCCTTCTCCTCCTTCTCCTCTCCTTCTCCCTCCTTCTCCTCCTTCTCCCTCCTTCTCCCTCCTTCTCCTCCTTCTCCCTCCTTCTCCCTCCTTCTCCCTCCTTCTCCTCCTTTTCCTTCTCCCTCCTTCTCCTTCTCCTTCCTTCTCCCTCCTTCTCCCTTCTGGTCGTCATCTTTGTGCGGGGCAGACGTGGGCACCGTAGCTGCTGCGTGCGCATGGCAAAGAGCGCCGACTCGGGCAACACGTCAGGCAGTACGTCGGGCGGACAGTGCCTCCTCACCCTCCTCCTCCTTCCTCCCCCTCCCCCTCCCCCTCCCCCCTCCTCCTCCTCCTCCTCCTCCTCCTCCTCCTCCTCCTCCTCCTCCTCCTCTCCTCCTCCTCCCCCTCCTCATTGTTCATGACTGTTTCATGATTGATGCTTCCTCCTCCTCCTCCTCCGCCTCCTCCCTCCTCCTCCTCCTCCTCCTCCTCCTCCTCCTCTGAATCCTTCTTCTTCTCCTCCTCCTCCTCCTTCTCCTCCTCACTGCTCATTGCTCATGAGCTCCGACGTCGTGATTGTTACATGACGTCGACCCTCAGAGGTCTCGAGCCGTTCCCCAGGACAGGCCTGTCCTCCTCCGAATCCTTTCCCGACGGTCCCGAGGCCCGGCGAGGGGCCCCAGAGGAAAAACACATAACAAAACCTGCCTTCGTGACGTTTTCAGGACTCGAGGAGGTCTTGGCCTCCTCTTCCCCCTCTTCTTCTTCCTCCTCCTCCTCCTCCTCCTCCTCCTTCTCCTCCTCCACCTCCTCCTCCTCCTCGTGGCCCTGTCTCCCCGATGGGAACCGAGGGGTGGGGCTCCCTGAGCCGCCTTTCCCGACCCGCCATGCGCTAGCCGAGGAGTGCCAAGCACGCGGTGCACTGGACGAAAACATGCGAAAACTAGGCGGCGCTCCTGGGGGGGGGGGGAAGTGAGAAGGGGCGGGCCTTCTCAGAAGGCTCGGAAGTACCCTGGCCTTCTGAGAAATTTTCTAAGCTTTACCCGAAGGCACAACAAACCTCCCACAAGGCGCGAGGGCTTCTGAAGGCCCGCCACCTTCTGAAAGGTCCTTCTCCTTCTCGCTTCCCCCCTTCGCTCGCCGCCGAAAAATGTGATCAAGATAGTTGTCATCGGATAAATCTGGGCCAGTTTCCTGAAGTCCTTCCAGCCCGTTGGGCCTAGGTGGTACAGCGAACTGACGTTTTCTCTGCTAAAAGCTCGTTTCCCCCTGCTCGGGGGAAGGGCTTGTCACTGTTCCCTATGATTAAGCATTCCCGTCCCCTGGCGACTGGCCGCCAACCAACACCAATGCGAACCCCTCCCCGCCATCGCCGTAAAAGCAACAATGACAAGTCAACTTTGGGTCAAAGTCTGAGGTCATGATTTGAGGGGGCGCGAGCACGTTGTACTTTTCTCACGGGGACGGCGGGGGTGCCCGCATACAGCCTGCTGCGCATTGGTTTTTGACTGGGGCGGCGGGGGTGCTGGCATATTGCGTGCTCTGTGCAGGCCCACCAGACGCTATGATGGCCACCCCGCCACGATGGCGTACTGTTTTTCGACAAGGGTGGTGGTGGCCGACACGTTTCCCGATATGTACTGCCACGTGCGCAGGCGCACCTGGCACATCCTGCGTGTGCCCCGAGCGTGGCGTACCTGGCGCCGCTGGAGCATGCGGCACACATGGCGCACGTGGGTCACATGGCGCATCTGGCGCACCAGTTGTGCTGGCACGCTTGGGCCACGCGGGGTGCTTGGCGCACCGAGCGAGCCTGGCACGCCTGGCGCACGTCGCTCCAGCGTTACACATATGGGGTCGGGTTTGGTTCTTGTTAGCTCTCCATCGAAAGACCACTGCTGAATTTTTGGTCGGCGGGTCGAGAGCGGGCCTCTTCCGGTTGCGAGCTAGGCGGGGCGCGCAAAGCACTTATTGGGGAGACAGGGCGCGGGCGGGCGGGGCCTTGGGCGGCCGGAGGGCGCGGGGTGCAGGCGGTGCCGAAGAGCTTGCGTAGGAAAAAGTATGCCTTGGACAGCAGCCGGAGGCGAAGTCCCGGTGGGAGAGTGAAGTGGTGTTGCCGTCAACGGCGCGTCAGAATCACCATCCTCGAGTGCTGCGTGGGGAGGGCCGTGACCAGGTCGACGCCCGTGAGGTAGAGGAAGACCAGGTCGGCGAAGTGCACCAGGTGCCACCAAGTGGTAAGGCGAGGCCCAGGAGATGAGGAGTACCACGAAGGCGATGTGCAACGTTGTGCCACCGGGTGGTCGGTGGCGGCCTGGGCTGGTAGTCCAATCCACGTCCAGGTAGCAGCCAAGAGGTTCGGCCTGAAGGGCCGTCTGTGTCCGCCTGCCGCGGGCCGGGCCTGGGCCGCGCTGCCCAGGGTGAGCGGGGCCGCCGAGGCGGCAAGGTGCAGTGCCAGCACCGGGCCGGAGCCGCGCTGTGCCGGGTGCCGCCGCCGTGGGAGGGGGGGAAAGCGAGCGGGGAGGGAAGAAGCGAACAGGGGGGAGAGAGGCCAGCGTCCCACGCCAGCTGGAGTCCCGCCAGCATGCGCCGAGGTGCTCACGTGGGGACACGCCCCAATGCGTACAGGTAAGACCCGAGGCCCCAGCGCGGGAGTGTCACGCACGTCGCTGGCGCACCAAAGCGTCGCAGGTGGGTACTGGGGGGACACAGAGTCCCAGATCCTTGAATCTCGTTCAGCCGATGGGTACAGGGGGGGCACAGAGTCCCAGATCCTCGAATCACGATCAGCCGATGGGCGCAGGTAGGACACAGAGTCCCAGATCCTTTGGAAACAGCCAATGGGTACATGGGGGACACAGACTCCCAGGTCTTTGAATCTCAATCGGCCGATGGGTACAGGTAGGACACAGAGTCCCAAAACCTTTGGAAACGGGAGAGAAGGAGGGGAGAAGGAGGAGAGGACGGGGTCCAGGTGGAAGGGTGGGTAGCCAGCACTGGGAACGCGGGCGCCACAAGGGCGAGAGGGTGCATGTAAGGGGGGGGAGAGGGACACGCGGTCTCCAGTCGGGTGTCAGGTGGGTGTGTGGATCGGGGACGGGGGCGCAGGTAGTGGGAGTGGCTGTCAAGTTATGCAGTGGTGCTGTGGGGCAGGTGTGGTAGGGCCGACGACAGTCAGCGCCGCGGGCGCTTTCCAGTCCAGGTGTCGTGGTACCCGGAACTGCGGGCTTGATCCCCGTCGCGCCCGTCACCCTTAGCGACCTCCCTTTTCCTCTGCACCTCCTGATAGAGCTTCTGCTCCCGCTCCCAATCCACGTAGACACCTGCGCTGCTGGGCCATCGGTCCACGTGGTAGTTGTTGGCGTTCATGTCATCCAGGAATTTGTCGATGATCCACTGCTGCCAGCGGCGTGGGTCGAAGGGCGCCTGGTCTTTGGATTTGCCCTTGCCCTGCTCCTTGTACATGTGCCTGCACCACGAATGCCAGGCTACGTTAAAGTGGTAGCCCCCTTCTGTTTTCAACCTCTTCATGTGTATTAGTGCTGTCTGGTTTGGGAGGCGCTGCCATCCGACGCGGAAGGTGGCGTGTGTCCGGCTGGTGTCGGTGTGGCTGCGGTCGTCTTTGTAGTGAGAGCTGCGCGATTCTGGCTGGCGCCAGGGTGCGCTACCTGAGCCCCGGCCAGTGTCGTGGGTCTGGTCCCGATAGCGCTCCTTAGTTCTGTCCCAATCCTTGGCGTCGTGTCTGCGCCACGGTGCCCCCGACGCGCTCAGATTGCGGTCGCGGTCGCGGTCTCGCTCTCCTGCGCGTGGCCGGTCGTCCTCTCTGGACTTGCGCCTCGCCGCCGTCGTGTACAGCTCCCAGGCGACTGGTTCCCGCACCCTGCCGCGCGGGCGCTCTGGGAGGTGCGCAGAGAGAGGGGTGAGGGCAGGTCGTGGGTCCTCCGGGCCCCTGGAGCGGTCCCGCATGTGCAGGTCCCGACCGTCGGCCACGGCCTCGGGACGCAGGATTGGCTCGGCGGGTGCGCGGGCAGCCCTCTGGTCGGTACTGCGGGGGTCGATTTCGGGGCTGGTGTTCCGCTCGCTCTGCGGACTCGTCTTGGCTTGGTGCTCTTCAACTGTGCCCGAGTCAGAGGACGAAGAGACGGGGTGGACCTCGCTCAGGGCCTCGGCGAGGCGCATTTACTCCTCTTTAGCCTGGTCTTCGTTGCCCCAGTCAGGGTCCTCTTCCTTACAGGGGCATGAGGGGTGCAGGTTCGTAGGTGGGGTCCTGTGTGCTGGATTGCGGCGGGTAGGGCTCAGGCTGGGGCCTGTCCTGCATGTGTCCTGCGGACGCCGCTTTGTCTCCCGTGGTGTCGACGCCTCTCGAGGGGTTGTCGAGGACCGCTGTTGCTTGCTTTCTGTGTACCTTGCCTTGGGCACTCTCCAGAAAGGTAGCTGCGCGGAGCGCTGCGTCTCCACGGAGGACGTTTACGCGTAGCGTCCTGTCGCCGACGCCTCGCACTTCCAGCCTCTCGCAGCCGATCTGGACGAGCAGCGTCCGCGCGTCCTGCTCCCGGGTCATGATGCGGAGGACGGGTCCGAAGACGGCTTCATCCAGGGGCTGTGTCGTGAGGGGCTCGGTGCAGTCCGCAGTGCTGAACCACCTGGCGCGGTGAAGGGAGTCACCCCTGATGACCACGTATCCGGGTTAGTCGCCGCACTGGATGCATTGGTTGTCCGTGGCAGCTGGGCACAAGGATCCCAAGATGGGCGTGTCCGGGACCTGCCCCTGCTGCACTTCGTGGCTGCCGTGTTCTGCACACCTCCCGAGGGGTTCAGGTGACGGGCCGACGGGTGGCGGCGCCCCGCCGGACGTGGTGGCCGTGGGTCGTGTGGCCCGCTGGG